AAACAAACGGCAAGCCAAGCGCTTGCTGGTTCAAAAGTAGAGTTATGCAAATTAAAATTTTTCAGTGTACCTGTAGATAATGGAACAATTTTTTAAAAATCTTTTCAAAAACATACCTTTATAACAAAATTAAAATATTAGACCCGGTAAAATTCTGATGTTTCTTTTTAATATGTTTAAAGAGAAATAGACTACACATATATACACCGCTTACAGCCATTTTACGTTGAAAATCCGTTTCCTGTAAGATCAACGTCTTACCTGTTCAGTACCTTAATAAATACCTTAATAAGTGGCAGCTTAGGAATACCAGGTTATATATATATATATATATATATATATATATATATATATATATATATATATATATATATATATATATACAAGTATATGATTAGTGTATACGGAATAAATTCATTAATAAATTTTTAATGGATATTTTTGTAGTGATTTTATAACATACTTATGTTATTTTTAATAAATAATTATAAATATATATATATATATATATATATATATATATATATATATATATATATATATATATATATATACATTCATATACTGGGATACAGGGGCGATGGATGAATTATCGTCTAAATTAAGCAAAATAGATAACACTGACATTTCATTTTAACAAATATATTTACCAAAATTACACAAAACTATTTTGAAATACTAAAGTGTAAATTTATTCAATAAATTCGCCAGTGGCTTCAACTACGGCTTCCAGGCGATTTCGGAATCTCCTGCGTCTCCTTGTTTGTTGGTGGATACTGCCATAAACCTTACTTTTAGTTCATCTTTGGTGTTATAAAGAATTTTGTTGCTCTCGCTTAACCGCACCCGCACATAATAATCTAGGTTTTGAAGTCGGGGGAATTAGGTGACCAGTTATAATAGGTGATGTGATCATGAAAATAAGTCATGACTGTTATCTCTTGCTTGTGTGGCATGGTGCAGGGTCATGTTGTCAGACATAGTGTGTTCCGGCAGCCACTCTTTTTACTCAGGGAAGCACTAGCTCCTCAAGGCACTTGTAGGCCTCCGTGTTGAGTCTGGGGCCCACACTATCCGTAGCTTGAAACCCAAACACTGTATGTTCGAAATGGAGCTTTCGACGCGAAGGCCAAGCAGTACAGCATGCGGTTTCCAAATTTCTGGGGAAGTGAACGGTACTCTTTTTCTTACAATGGTGCTTAACTGATCCTACTATATTGTGCTGTCGACAAAATCACATACCAAAAATGCACATCTGCGAAATTAAAAAAAAATAAAATGGCGACAATTTACCCATCGCACCACATATATATATTAAAGAAAGAAAGAAAGAACAGTAAGCTATATAATCCGGTGTTCTTGTTATTTTTTATTTTTATTTCTGCAAAACAGTGCTCAATGTAAATTTACAGAGCATAAATATGATAAATTAACTGATTTTAAATCAGTCAATTTATTATATATATATATATATATATATATATATATATATATATATATATATATATATATATATATATATAATTATTTATTTAAAACTAGGATTCCAAATATATTTTTTCACACATATATATATATATATTTATAACATATATATATATAAATATATATATAATATATATGCAAAAAGCAGTAGAAATGTCTGCTGAAATGTTATATATCAGTTCTCCTATAAAGCAGAGAATAACGAACAATTTACTCACAGAAGATGCTAAGAATGAGTTCTGCTATCACTTATGGCGTCCGTTGTAATACGATAGACATAGGCGATGCTGAGGATGGTTCTACAGCATCACATTTCTAATTATTAGATTTCTATGAGAATCGAGGACATTTAAAAAAAATGAACTGTTAAAATGAGAAAGAGACGCATTATTGACATTATTCGGACTATTGTCCTCATCTTTGTCGCCATATTTATTACAACGTTTCGACCATTGTACGCTCCGATATTCTTCAAAACTGAACCCTTTATTTCGCTCTCTGGTGTCATGTCTTAATGGCTGTCAGTTATCCCCTGACAGATACTAAAGATGTCTGTAATATTTTCTGGCCTCTCGATATCTCTCTTCTTCACCACCGTGGCGTGACTTTCCTCTATCTTTATAAATATGTTCATGGCGATTTTTCTAATGATCTCTCCTCCTTGGTACATCGACCGCATGAATTTAAGCGTACTACTAGATTGGCTACTAGGCCACATCTTCTTACTGTTGCAATGACTCTGTATAATGGTAAGTTATATTCTAATAGTTCATTTTGTCGCACTCTCGAACTAATTTTCTAGTTCTTGCTTCACTGCCCACTACAATCTTCAAAAATTTAAATATAATATCTATCATCATCTTCTGTCTTTCTGAGTCCTGTTATTTATTTTCCTTTCTGCTCACAAAAGTGTTTTTCGTTCTCAACTACTCCCTGTAAGCCAATGCATCTTCGTGGCGTTATCGCCTTGCTTGAAGAAAAAAAAAATTACCTCACAGGACTGGGCTTGAAGTTTGGCTTAACCAAGTAACTAGAGCGTAGATAACAAAAGAAAATGCAGATTTGGGTGCGAAACGAGAGTTACTCTTCCGCAAATGGAAATTTTGGCAACGTTTCCAAAGACAAACAACTGGCGCCACAAAGATCAAACCTCCTTAGAATTTACAGCGAAATGACAAATTACGACATAAAACTACATTCAATCTAACAATATCGTTAAAAAAAAAAAAAGACTTACTTTAGTTTTTGACCGGCGAGAAAATAAGCGAGTGTATTAAGCTATTAAAATTTATAAATTACTGAGTGATTTTTAGTTTCCAATGTTTGTTTGTATTTCTCCCAATCTATCTTCTTTTTACAAATATATTTGATTAAAGCCTTTTATATATATATATTTTTTTGTATTCTTTTCCTTCGTTATTTGTATTTTCCGAGATTACACGTAGTTTTTCATGCATAAACTCTTTCTTCTTTTTTTACTAGCGTTTTTTAAAGTGGGCTACGGAAACAAATATGGCTGAAAATTTTACATTAATTAAAACGGGAATTTTGTTTTTCTTCTTAAAAAAACTGTTTTGACTGATATTTAATGATTTTTTAAGTATACTTTTTGTATTATGTGAATTCTTCATGCTTTTATTTTTTTTTAATTTTTCTGTTTAAATATTTTATCATTTTCTCTATTACTCCCCTTCTTATTGACATTTTCTCTGATTAAGTCTTCCTTCTTTCTTTTAATATATTTTTATCAAAATTTACAAATTTATATTAATAAGGCGACGAGGGACGGTGGGCAACTTGAAGATTGTATTGGGCGGTTTTCTTAGTAAGAAGTGTATGTCGGCCTTTAACAAAAAACAATGATCCTCTTAAAAGTCTTTGTTTTATTAAAAGGCGAGAAAGTAAACACCCACAACACAGGAAAATACGTAAATACATTTTCTTTGAGCAAAATCCAGACATTTGTAAAATTTAACCCTTATCTTTCCATAAAACAAAAATATATTTTTTTGAAAAGATTAATATTCTACGTGTAAGGAAATATACAAATATAAAAGTCTTGATTTTAAATCAAGAAAATTGGTAGTTTAAGATAATTTATTACAGTATATATCGGATCATCCCATAAGATCTGTCCGAATTTTGAATAAAAAAAACAAGTTGCCAAATGTTACATTTAATTACAGATTCAATCAACAATATATTTTCCCTGATTATCTATGACTTCCTTCCATCTATTAACAAGCTTACTAATTCGATTTCTGTAAAATTCTTTTGGCTTTGATTCGAAGAACTCACAAATGTCAGTTTTAACCTCTTACTGTGTTACAAAAGCTGTTTTTTTCTAAATGGTTCTGTAAGCTACGATATAAATGGTAGTCTGAAGGAGCAAGATCGGGAGAATAAGGTGGATGAGGAATTTTCTCCCAACCAAGTTCTTCGATCTTTTGTGACATGATTCTTGCTGAGTGAGGTCGCGCATTGTCCTGATGAAACATCACCCCTTTTCGATTCACTAGAGCAGTTTTTTTCCTCAAAGCTTGGTTCAAACGCTCTAATTGCTGACAGTATATTTGAGCATTAATTGTTGCATTAGGTGGTAAGAATTCAAAGTGGATTATTCATTGGCGATACTACCACATTGAAAGAACTTTTTGCCCATGAAGTTCCCTTCTCGGCGGTGGCTGGGGTCCTTTCTTTTTACCAAGCCACTGTCTACGACGCTTAATATTTCGATAATGGATCCATTTTTCGTGGCCAGTCACAAGTCTATCCAAAAAAGGTGAAACAAGTTAGCGAGAATGGAGAAAAGAGCAGATGTCAACTCGGGATTTGAGGTTGTTTTCAGACAATTCATGAGGCACCCATTTTCCAGCTTAGGAAGTTATCCAAGTTGTTGAAGATGACGATGAACAGTTGTATGTTTTGACATGAGAACCACTGCCAATTCCTCAACTGATAAAGCAGGATTTTCTTCAAGGGCTGCTTCAAGAAGCTTTTCATCAAACTGAACTTGACGTCCGGTTCGATCTTCATCTTCAAGGGTGAAATCTCCACCTCTGAATTTTGCAAACCATCCTCTGCAAGTTCTTTCATTCACACATTCCTCTCCATAAACTGAGTAAATGTTTCTATCCGCTTCGGCTGCTGAGTTTCCTTTTTTGAACTCATAAAACATTATGTGCTTCAAATGATTCTTGGGTACTTCCATATTAGCAATGTTTTAATCAAACAAAATTTAAATTTATTGTTCTCTGAAATAACATTTGATCAGTTTAAATGCATCAAAACATAAAAATAATGTTCAGCTCCATTAGACATTATAAAATACTCTTTAAATTTCGTTCATTTTAACAAAATTTAAAATTCGGTCAGAACTTATGGGATGACCTGATAGAAAAAAAAATGTCTGCTTAAATTAATCCAACGGGATGGACTTTCGCTTTGGACGGTAAACTGTTTGCATTAGAAGAAATACGGGTAAAACAATTTTGTAGCAGTTATTTTTCCAAAAGATGTTGCTTAACTTGAAGATCTGTATGTCGAATACTGGCTTTTATCCTAGTTCATATTGTACTTTTAGCAATTGGAGGAAAGATACAATTATTTCAATAACATACCTAGTGATAAGCTTATTCAAATACAAGCTGAATGTAGAGTACATGATGTGAAAATCAAACGACTCAGCGTGATGAAGCTTGCTCATTACACCGCTGCAGTAGGCGCCCATTTTCTTTTTTTTATATAGGATTTTGGTACTTCTGAATTCTCTACCGTTCCTTTCTGGTTCCTTCCTTGTTATCTTAATGAAAATTATTTCAGTTTTCCACTCAAAATATCATATACTGTAATTTCCCATGTATAACACGCATTTTTCTTCTAAAAAATCATAAGTAAAATTAGGGGTGCGCATTATACACAGCTACAAAAAATCTTCAAAAAGATTGCCGTTTCAAAGGTCGATGTTAGTTGAGAAATGACTACTGAACACAAACATAATACAATTTGACACTAACATTGGGCGATTGCGACCCCATAAGGATGTTAAATACAATTGCATGTACCTAACAATACTTATTGTATATAATTATTAACAATAAATTATTATAAAACTATATTATATAATATTATTCTATGTTTAATTTTTATTTTTCTGTGTGTGTGTGAAAAACTACATATAAATCCGGTAGTTTACACATTTTATTGAACAAAACCATGCTAATGAGTCTGCGCAATAGGCACAATATAGTTATTTCCGTTTCTTTTTAGAATTGTGATGATCGGAATGTTTGAAAAATATCTTCAATTAGAACTTGAATAAGAGTAGGAAACGCTGGCCGTAATGAAATTTAGGAAGTACAATTTATACGGTTTGATTACCAAACAAGGGGTGCATATTATGCATGAGTAGAAGCATTTTCCCACACTTTTAGTACAATTTTAGTGGCACGTATTATACATGATAGTGTATTGTACATGAGGAATTACGGTAATTTAAGTTTCCTCTTTATTTTTTCTTTCGGATTTTCTTTCAGTATCTCAGTTAAACAGCTACTACTTTCTCTTGCACTTTTTTCATTCGGCTTTGTGTCTTCTTTCTTTCTTTCTTTCTTTCTTTCTTTCTTTCTTTTTCCCCTTACAGTTCATTCTTTTATCTTCTTTTTATCTTTTTTTCTTTTTTATCTTTTTTATGCTCATCCTCCGCCTACTCCTCTTCTTCTTTTACTTCTTTTTCACATCCCACTTTTGCTCGTTTCTTTTTCTTTCATTCTATCAATTTTCCCGAAGCCAGTTTTCCGAATTTTTCTTTATCCTTCTTTCAATTGCAAGTTTTTGCACCACTGTCTATAATTTCTCTCTTCTTGACGTTTTCGCTTTTCTTTCTGTCTACTTTTCTTTCGCTTTATGCACATTTTAGTAAACCTGCCTACACACTTTCTCTCCAGCACTCTCTTCCACTTTGGTCATATACTTTCTATATTGTTTTCTTATTTAGCTTCAATTCATTATCTTTTCGATCCTTGTGCAACATTTTTAAGCTTCTCTCTTTTTATTTCATACAGTTTCATTCACTCTCTATTCGTCTACAGATTCTTCGTCGTTTGCTATTTTCTTCTTTCTTTCCACGTAGCCTCAATATTCTTTAAACTTTTTCTTTTTAAATAAATCTCCTCACATCGTTCTTTCTTCTCTTTATATACCCCATCATCTCTCTCTCTCTCTCTCTCGCTCTCTTTCACTCTCTTTCTCTCTCTCCAAGTGTTTTCTTACATTTACAAAAAGGAACGGCCTCATACATCGACGGGTGGCGCCACTGTCATGGAATAAAGGAGGGTAATATTAATTGTCAGAAGAGTGGGTGGTACTAGGCGAAGGGTTAGAGTTTTCGAGTAGTGCTCTTTATTCTGATTGACTAATGATCGATCTTTCGTATCGGGAACAGAAACAACACGCCATCGTAAATAACCGACTCAATTATATGCCCGAACAAACAAACATGCCACTTTAATGTTCCTGCAAGCTTAGCAAAGTGAGTAATAAAACGCCATTTTCAATGCTAAGAGTCACTGTTTAGATCACCAATAATAATACCATTACCTTCAACATCGTATTTATCAAGCCCCTAAATCTGTGATTGTTAATGTTGTCCTACGCATTATTATTATCATTATTATTATTATTTTGATTGTTTAATTACTGTCTTCGACATTAAGTGCGGGCACAGCTGAATGGTGAGGAAAACTATGACAGAACTTTTTTGAAAGATTTTAGCATCTGTTTCGATTTGGATTTGAGTGGATTTAATATTTCACCGACAGAAAAAAAGGTTGTCTTTATTATTTTTTGTAATATCCTATAACAACCTTTCAAAATTAAGTGCATTATAATTATGAAAATGTATCTGTAATAAATCCCCACCTAATAGTAGAAAGAGCTATAACAGTTTGTGAACATAAAAATCCAATTTTCCTGAAAAAAAAACATAGAAAAATAAATAAACTTCAACTACCAAAAATGTTAACTTTTCGAACAATGAATGTCGAATGGTGATTTTCTATGCCTTGCTTAGATGTGGCACAAGGCCGAAAGTATCGGGTAGCCAGTGAGAATCAAACTCACTAATCAGTTGTAATTGTTCTAGCTATACAAGCTTTCTAAACCTTACAACACGTTGAGGTACCCTTAATGATTTTCTAAAGTAATGAACACCTAATGAGAATCGAATCTACTACGCAGTAGTAAATGATATATGAGACAAGCTTGCTAAGCATTGCACCACGTCAAAGTGCCCCAGTGAATGTCACCTGCTAATCTCACCCTTACTTTTACCATACACCCGGAATAGAAAACTATGGTGGAATAAAAGGGCAGGCTGGAATATTCATTATAAAAATCATCTATTTTCGAAACCAAAAACGAAGAGAAATAATTGATTTGTGTTTTACGACTTATTACAGTTTATTTAAATACAGAAACTATTTTTGAATTGTAACAGTTTTTTATATAATGAGAATTATTGATAAAATTATATCATTATATCGAAAAAATTGTTTTTAAATCATATACATTATAAGACAATTGTTTTTTTTTAATGTTTATACATTCTTTTTATAGATACAAATATTTAATTGCTCTGTTTATAATAAACAGTACGAACAACATTTACCGGTCTGAATGTCCGAGAAATATTCATAGAAAATATTCGTCCCCCGATAGGAATCGAACCTGTATCCTATACGCAAATCATCATATAGCCTAACGTGCTTTTACCATTGCGTCACAGAGTTTTGCTCGGTTAGCATGGTCGATTTTACTGTTTTCAAAATACAATCTTCCATGATTCTCTCACGTACATTCATATTATTGCTCAATGTGTATCCGAATGTAAACAAATAACGTCACACATTATGAAACGAACAAAGTTCGATAATCATCTTAAGACATTTTTTTTTATGCTTATACATTCGTTTTATAGATGCAAATATTTAAGTAAATGCTCTGTTTATAATAAATAGTATGAAAAACATTTACTGGCATGAATGTCGGAAAAACTTTCATAGAAAATATTCGTCCTCCGACAGGAATCGAACCCGTATCCTATATGCAACCATCATATAGCCTATCGTGCTTTTACCGTCTTAAAATTGTCCATTTCATTTATATATATATATATTCATAAGTATAGAAATTAAGATGTCGTGTGTGTGTGTGTGTGTGTGTGTGTGTGTGTGTGTGTGTGTGTGTGTGCTGGTATGTAATCAAAGTGAATCCTAATAATATAAAATATTAAAATTGATCCACAAAACGAGCTCGATCTATTTATTATAACAGAGGTCATAAATTCAAGAGAATAGAAATCCACACTGACCTCATTCGAATAGAGATTTCAACCTATATATATATATATATATATATATATATATATATATATATATATATATATATATAAATGAGTAAAAGGTTATATGATGAACATGATGTACATCCATGTAGACGGGTGCATGTGATCACGCGGACAAGCGCGCACACACAAACGCAGGGAATGCAGAAGAAAATTTACACCAGTGGTAAATGTGTATAAAAAGAAAAAATTCAAAAAAAAAATAAGCAGTAAATTGTTGATATCCCCTGAAGAGTGAACGAACAGGTCAGTCTACGAAACTCTGAAGTCGGGAGTCTGAAGGTAATATCAATCAGTGGCAATTTTACTCACATTAATATTACATATATATAATGAGTAAAGTTAAGAAATAACACTACAAAATAGTTACAAATAACTGCAAGTGGATTCCCGATTATTCGTACTAAATAGTATCTAGAATAATTACAAGCATAACAGTTGCCACTCACACAATAACAGTCAGGATAATACAATAAACGAACTGAATTGATTTCGAAATGCAGACGCAAAACAAATTTTTTCTACGCTACTTAATTATCGAATAGGAAAAAACGAATACATTGTAAAATACCACCACGAAAAATGAAACTATATACAATGTTTCAGAATAGTTACTTTTGTAACCTAGGAAAGGTTACTAAATACAATCATCAAACTCTAAGCGATCTGGGATTGCAAAGGAAATATTTGTCGCAGATTACTTCCACAACGCAGAGATGAAATCACGAAGTTCTGACTCGAATATCGGGGCAGAAAGAAATGCGGAATACTCGATTCGCAGGTACTATCTCACAAATGTCAATGCACGTAACCAGTAAGAAAAAACACTCACTCTCCGAGAAACGCGGTAGCCAAAAGTACACGAATTTTATTTTTTCTCACCGACTCGAGAACACCAACTGCTTTTATCGCCCGAGCATTTTTTTTAGTCGGCAACTGGAAGTGGACGCCCACTTTTTGCATATCAAAATAATTTTATAGCGACTGCTGCAACTGACTTGTTTCTAATTTAAATATTCCTTCAGCATGTCATGCGGAATACGTCCCCTTTTTTTTTATTTTTGGTAAGTAATTTTATTTTTCGCCACATTTTCCGTTGTAGGATACACGCGACGCGATGTCGCTTGGTTTTTCTTCGTTATACAAACAAAGGTTGATAATGAACGATAATAGTTAAGGCAAAAGAAACACATATGAGATTCGCCAGCGGCGCGTAGAAGAAGTAATCAACTGCTAGAAGTAAAATAAATGAATTTCACAATGAATCTAAAAGTTCTAAAAGTATGGGGTATTCGGGTCCGTAGACTCGGCCAAAAATCCCCGTAGACCCCGACAAAAACGGGATCAGGTTGCTGTTTCCACAGATGAGACCCTGCCCTTCGACATAGCCTCGTCTGTGGATCCTCTCTGTCCTGAGGCAGACAGTTTAACCAGCACAACTGGAGACGAATCTCCAACTGTAAGATATTTACCAACTGCCCCACACGATCAGATGTGACACAAGGCCGTATTTAATATGTGCTATCTGAGCCTGTAGGCTCGGCCAAAAATTCTCCTACGATTCCGTATGTAGCTGTTTCCAGAGACGAGACTCTGCTCTTCGACATAGCCTCGTCTAGAGATCGTCTCTGCCCGGAGGCAGAGAGTTTGACCAGAACAGCTGAAGACGAATCTCCAACTACAGATCAATATACAGTATTTACTACTGTATTTATTTGAATGGGGACATGCCAATTATCGTCCATACGTTTGCTACAACAGTTACAAAGAATAGGAAATTGTGGAGTGCTATTGTTGCAAAATTCTTCACGGGCCATATCACAAGGAAGAACAACATAAGTACCTTTTTTTAAAATCCCGTTTAATGAAACATGTATTAAATAGGAAATTCTGCCGAAATACTCAACAATATATAAAGTATATATGTGTGTGTGTGCAACAATACTGATTCATAAAAAAAAACTATCGTCAAAATCTCTATTTTCTTTCAAATTTTAATCAATTTTGTCATCTTCTCTTTAACATCTTGTTACTTCCTCTCCCGACTGCAAAGGAAGATATTTTATCTTTGCTCTTCACTGGCCATTCTCAACGAATATTATAAACGGAGATTTTGCCCACCTTTTCTCCGTTCATTTCTTAACCGTCTCCTTTCCATTATATTTTTTCACTTCCGAATTAAAAGCAAAACAAAAAGAGAATTTTATAATAAATCTATTCATTTGTTAAACAAAATAAATGCTAAGAACTGACGATATGGATTAAACAGATATGATATTCCATATATCAATATAAATACAGAATAAATTATATTTTGCTAGGAGATAAAAATATTGATTGCTTTCAAGCCCAGTAAGATGAAAAGAACGCTCTGATATGATTATCAACTACATAAGTAAAAACAGTTTGTGTAGAAATAATGGCATACTGATGAGCTAAACTTACTGTCCGAATTAGCATAAATCAAAAATGCATTAGGTAGACTACTTTCTAACATCCTCCCGATGGATATAATCATTTTAAAACAACTCAGGGGTATTTATTGCTATTAGCTTAAAGAATGACTATAGAAATGGTCTGATAATACAAAGTTATCGAAAATGGTATGGTAACGTAGCTAAAGTAAGCAGAGTGTAGTCACTTGACGCAAACTGACCTTGAAATCTTAGTGATAACATTCTTGCTCAATTCCTTTGTTTATAACAGTGCTTGAAAGGAAGGACAGTGTGTGGGGTAGAGTCGTTT